GGCGCTATAATTTTTCTCTGCAAAAATCGCCCCTCGCCATCCCCACTCCACCACCCACTGGCACCCCGCCCCCCGCCCGGCCGCATTGCACCCCCGGAGTTAGCTGAAGGGCCATTCGCAGAACGGACTTTTTCTCAGCAATAAACCCTAGAGCCGACTCTCTTTCTTCCTCCCAACGTCTCTGTGTCATTTCCCCTCCACGATAACCCAGTAATTACTTCTGTGCAGGTCTGCAAGGGGACACTGAGTTACCGCGTCCCCAACATGACCAGCTACAGAGGCGCCGCAACATTCACTTGCCCACAGCTCCTCGTCGGAAAAAAAATAATTTTTAAATAATAAGAGGACTCTCTTGCCGCCTGCAAGAGACCTCGCTCCCACTGGAACAACCTGATTGCTTTCCAATCGTGGGCTGAGGTGGGCTCCCACCTCCCTTCGCGCAAAGGCCCTCCTCCCCCTCCCTAAGAAAATCGATCTTGGCTCAATTTGTGTCTGAAGTTCGCCACCCCCATTTCCCCAGAGGGCGCTGGGTTTGTTTATTTCTTTATTTATTCCCGTGGCCGAGGCGTCCCGGACTTGTGGCTGCGCAGACCCCGGGGACTGATAGGCGAAGACGGAGAGAAATTAACCTCCCGCCACTGCCCCCCAGTCGAGCGTGACAGCGCGCGGACCGGTTGCGTGACTCGTGACGTCTCCAAGTCCTATAGGTGCAGCGGCTGGTGAGATAGCCGGTATCGCCTGGTTGCCTCTTTATTTTATTGGGGTATGCCTGGTAATAAACAGTAATATTTAATTTGTCGAAGACCACAAACCAACTTCGAGCTGGGAGGTACATGCTACTCTTGACAGACGCTGGAAGAAGGTTTGTCCTAAAAGGGGTCTCTTTTGGGGGTCTTTTCCAAACTCTTCACCTGAGCCCCCCCACCCCAGCGAGGCGTCACTCCTGGCTTCTGCGCTGGATAGAAGAGGTGGGATTTTTGGAGGTGAGTGTCGCTCTGCAGAACTCGAGGGAGGAGGGGGAATAGGTTTCTCTCAAGTCTTCGCCTGCCTCCGGCCCCCTAGCTTCCCGCCCCAACTCGCCCCGCTGAATCCCCCTCGCCCGCTTGCCACCTCTCGCGGGCCGGCGGAATGAGAACGCACCCTCTCGCATTTTGCCTTTGGGTGTCCCCTGGCACGAATACATTCCCCTTGGAGGTTTCAAAATCCCAGTTTTCCTTGGTGGCCCGCACCATCTGTGCTCCACGAACTTAAGCGAATCTGGCCAGGCAACGGCTTGGGGGAGTTCAGATTTTCCCTCTCGAGAGGGGCCTGCAGGTTATTTATGGGAATTTATTTTATCCGCAAATCTCTGAGAATTTACAGGGATTGGAGAGGTCTTTCTGGATTTCCCTTTCCTTTTGCCAGAGATGCAGGCATCCCGCCTCATCGTGAAGCCATGTTTGTTTTCCGTCTCTGGCCCCGGGGGTCGCCTCCTTAGCAAGCCCCAAGTCCTCTGCGCTGACATTTTGGAAGGGTGAGGGTGTTTTCACAAATAAATAAACGGCCTCTGGGAAAGGCTGTTTGCAAACAAACCTGGAAGGTGGAGTGAGAGCTGCGGCGGACGCCGGGTCGGTGTGCTCCGAGGCTGCCCCACTTTTAGGGCGGACAATTCACTTTGGAATTCCGCGGTGATGTGCCAGGCCTGCCTCACAATTTTGTCCCAGCGGCCAGAGCTGGTTACCCTGCGGCCGCCGAGCTCCAGGACGTCCGTCCCTCTTCCTTCATCCCTCCACCCAGACCCTGGCCTGCAGGTCCAAGCCTCGAATGCGAGCCCCCCCCCCAAAAAGAACAGGGCGAGGGGGTACAGGAGATGAGAACGGGAACCCTGACATTTATCCCAAGCACTTGGTGCTCAGATCTGTGCCTGTTCAGGCTAAGACCTACTGACTGTGTTTACGCTTCTATTGACCTCTTCAACTCGACCCTCAAAATAATACATTGGGGGGGGGGGCAGGGAGGCGAGCCGAAGGGAGATGAAAACCCCGGCCAGCCCCCAATGACTGTTTGATTATTTTAATAAAACTGGGCATTGCCTGTATACACATCCAGCCAGGGAGGTCTGTGGCCCTGGAGGGCGGGGGCCAATGGCGATTTCTCGGCATCTTTGATCTCGGCCCCCATCCCAACGCACCTTCACCCTGCCTTCACCCCGGAGTCACTGAGAGTCTGGGTGATGAGTGGGGAGGGGGAGAGATGTCAGGGCGGCTAGCGGCGGCTGGCTGGGCCAGGCGGGGTCATGCAGCTCTCCCTCTGGAGGTCAGCGTCGGAGACAGAGCGCGGGCAAGGCTGCAGAGGAGGCGCGCGGCGTGTGTGTGCACGCGTCGTGCGTTCAGACTCGTTCTCTGCACAGCCCGCGTCACCGAGATTACTTCCCGGGCAGAAGCCGACTGGTTTGCGATGATTTGTGCAGGATTTTTTGCAGCCACCGAGCCGCACTCAGAGCAGCAAAGATGGATGGACTCTGGGAAGGGGGTGGAGAGGAGGGGGTGATCTCGAGGTCTGAGTTTGAGAGTCGTGTTGTGATGTGAGTGTTCGGGAAATCTAATGGAAAATGTGGTTGGGGGAGGGAGTGGGAAGGGATAGGGAGGGAGGAAGGGAGGGAGGAAGAGAGAGAGAGAGAGAGAGAGGGAGAGGGAGAGGCAGCGTGCAGTGGGAGCTAGTTGGATAGGCAATTCTAGTACTTTGTAAGCATCTAGGCAGCCCAACGTCACTGAGCTCAGCTGAGTCGGCTTGTATTTCTGAGAGGAGAGAGAGAGAGAGCGCGCGCGCAAGAGAGCGAGAGCGAAAGAGAGAGAGAGAGAGAGAGAGAAATCTTACCTCGGATTCCGGAACTTTAACCCTGAAAGCGGCACTCAGAGAGGACTTGGACCATTCCCACGGCTTCCTCTGGTCTCCCAACGTTCCCTCCCTGGGGGTTCCAGGGAGGAGCAGGGCACTGAGCTTTCCCTATTGAGGGTGTTCCCCAAGGCTGCTGTTTTGCATTTTTTGGAGCCCTTCTGGTGCCTGACAACTTGGAAGTCTTTAGGGAGAGAACAGCGCAGAGCGGAGGAGGTGTGTGTTGGAGGTGGGCCGTGGCTGCTGAGGCTCCAGCGGTGGGTGCTCTTTGTAGGCAGCCGTAGCCGCTAGTCCGGGCACGCAGTCGCCCGCATAAAGCCGGAGCCACCATGCCGGCGCCCCCGCCTCGCCGCCGGCTTCCGTGCTAGGAGCACAAGGGATGTGGTGAATGCACCGGCTTCACCGAGCGAGGTAACCTTGCCCGCAGATGGCCCGGGAGGCTCGGGAGGGAGCCCCCCGGCCGAGCGGGCTCTGGGCGGCGCGCCTGGCGGTACCGCAGCTTCGCCTTGGATTCTGCAGAGCCTGGCTCGCAGAGATTTCGCGCGGCCCGGAGCTCTGGGCGCGTGGAGCGGAGCAGGCGGCTGCGGCCGGGGGAGCGGCGTGGCTTCCAGTACGCGCGGCCTGGTTCTGTCAAACCGCATCTCGTTCTCCTTCGCCAGCCTCTAGCTCCCCGGGACCCTGGCGAGGTCGAGGGGTGGGATTATCCCCGCGCGGCCAGCAGTGCACGGGAGCGCACGTGGGGGACGCCGCCCTGATATCTTTTGTTGTGAGCCGACTGCGCGGCTCCCATCACCGCCTCCCGAAAACCCCAAGGGCGTGGTGAGGGAAGCTCTTGGGAGTTGGGCCTCAGCAGCTGTTGTCGGCACCATTTCTGGGTCTCCGGCCACTGCAGGCCAGGGTGGGCTCTGGCTTTTTGCTGGAGAGGCTGCTGAGATTTAGGGGAGCCATCCCTTGTGCCTCTTTCTGTCTTTCTGGGGTTCGAGAAAGGAAATCCCTACTAGGGAACGTACAGGAGATTGGAAGGAGATCAGAACAAGAGGCAGACTCCTAAGGGGTTGAACAGCTCCACAGCTGCTATTTTGTGTGTTCCAGCCTCCTATGCCTGACAGCCCTGTGCACGGTGTGGGACCTAGGCAGCTGATTCCACGCCCGAAGCCCAGGATTTCGCTGGGCCCCTTTTTGTCCTCACGAATGCCGAGCTTGGGCCTGCATTTCCAGCGAGCCAGGCCCAGCTGAAGCTCGGAGAAGCTCCCCGAGGCCTGGCTGCTAGACAAAAATTCCTGACCCGGGCTGGAGAGCAGAGAAAGCCGGAGAACGCGCGCCCCGGGCGGCGGCAGAGCGTGGGCCACAGGCACCGAGAGCGCATCTCCCTGCGAACTGCTGAGCGGCGCTTTCCTGCCTCGCTGTCTTCTTTGGCTCCTTTTTCTTTTTAATGTTAATTAAGGTCGGGGGAAAGGGGAGGACCCTTAATGTTAAAGGACTTTCAATTTTAAGGCCTGCAACTGATAAAAGATGAACATGAATTCTCTTTCGGACAGGTCTCTCGGTCTGCAAGCCTTGCTCCTTTTAAGCTTTTGGTTTTGCAAGAGGCGGGTTATTTCAGACATTTCGCCGGCTGCACAACATTATTCTGCTTGCGAGTTTTCATAAACAGAGCTCTGATGACCTCCTGTAATTCGACAAAGGGAAAAACTTTCTCAAAAGGACACTAGGTTTTTGTTTTGTTTTTGGTTCGTACCCAATGGCTTCCAAAAATACCCAGGCCTTATCTTTATTGGCTCTTCCAGAAGTCCAGACAAATTTGACGGGCAGCTGGCTTATCGCGGGGAGCCTGCGCAGGGGAGATGCGGGGCCTCGCCTCCTCCGGGTCTGACGCGGGTCTTTCGCAAGAGGTTGTGCGTGATCATAAAGTAATAGTAATGATCATAATAAAGGGACCTTCTTCAGCTTCCTTCAGCTGGGAACAGAGGTGCTGGTAGCTGGAAAGTGGGGCCCCTACTGCTCCTTTTTGTCACTTTAACTAGGCTTCCAACTTTCTCCTCTCTCTCTCTCTCTCTCTCTCCCCCTCTCTCTCTTTCTCTCTCCCTCTCTCTCCCTCTCCCTCTCTGCTTCCTGTCTGCAGTACAGGACCCCGCGCGGTCACAGGGCCCCGGGCACACCATGGCCGACGCAGACGAGGGCTTTGGCCTAGCGCACACACCCCTGGAACCTGACTCAAAGGATCTACCCTGCGACTCAAAACCAGAGAGCGCGCTAGGGGCCCCCAGCAAGTCCCCGTCGCCCCCGCAGGCCGCCTTCACCCAGCAGGTAAGAAGTCCCTCGCCTAGGGACCCTCTGCAGGGACCAAAGTCCCTCTTGCAGGGGAGGAGGGACGGGTTGACAACTGCGGCTGTTCTCTTTTCTTTTTACCCCCACTCGATGAGACCTTCCTCTGCCCTGCCTCCCCAAATGCCAGTATATCCTAATCCCCTTTATTTGGACGATTATCTTTATGGCAGGAGGATTTTAAAAATACATATAAGTTGTTAGAGAAGCCTCAATTATCCGGCTATTTGAGGCCAGCCAACGAGAACCCAGATCCTTCCTTTCCTGATGCCCTAGGTGTAGACTGGGCCCCGCGCGCCTCATTAAGGGCCGGGTCAGCGGCCGGTTCAGGCCGACGTGAGCGATGGCTTGACCCCTCTTCAGATCTTGCGTAGCCTTCGCCTCCGCCCGCCTCCTCCGTGCCGGCGCCCGCGCCCGCGCGGCGCACCATTTGTCATGCGCCGGCCCTGGCCGGCTGGCGCGCAGGGCCGTGCGGAGAGGGCGCAGGGAGCCGCGGGCTCGCCAGGTTGGAAGCTGGGCCCGAGGCACCGGGCGCAAGGCGGTCCTGGAAGACCTTGATGAGTTTCAATAAGCTGTCAGATGGCGCGGAGCCGGGTGACAACCAGAAGAGATATGTGGACACAGCTAAAACCCTTCTTGGGGATTTGAATGCCCTTTCTGGCTAGTTTGTCCCCTCTCTACTTTGCCCTTCACGGGTCTCAGGAAAATCTCTCTATTTGTAGAGAAGCAGAGAGAGCAGTGGGCACGCAGTCTCGGAAACTTAGATTTTTTTCTTTTTACAGAAAGGCAAATCCACTGGAATTTTGGAATATGGAATATTGCAAAACGAAGACTTTGTATATAACTTTTTGCATCACTTTTGTAAAATAACTAACTCCTAGTTGAAGGCGGAAATGTTAAATGGCGTAGGCTGTGCTCATAGTTAAAACAGCTTGAGCGAAGGAAGCTGGATATGAGGAGAGCCTGGAAGGCTTATTGATAGAGACGTTTGAGAATGCATTTTTGTTTGGACTGCGGGAACCCATTATACTGCATAAATATTTTTTAAATTTAAAATCGCACCTAGGTCTATATTTGTGTTGCCATGGTGAGAAGAAACACGCACGTCTACCGTATTTGCACATTTGTATGTGTGCGTGTGGCTCTCTGAGTCTCCACAAGAATATTCTGAGTGGGTTTTTGAGGCTGAGGATTTATTTCTTTAGCTGCATCTTGGCTAAAGCCAAGGACTGAAACTGGTCTCATTTTTTTTCTCAGCCTCCTCGCCCCATTGGACATTCTGGAGCACCCTAATGGTTGGTTTTTTTTCTCTAGTCTTGTGTAGGCGACATTAGAAAGAGAACCTCCCCCCGACAGAGCATATAAGGGGATTCCTGGGCAGGGGCTGCCCCACGGTCCGGGCCCAGAGGGCTCAGCAGTGGGGCCCGGCAGTTTGCAGCCTCTGAGCCCCCTGGCTCCAGAGGGAAGGAGGAGAGGAGAAGTCTCTGTGTTTCGGGGGAGCTTGGAGAGCAAAGGCCCCCGTTCCCTGGGCGTGTCTGTGTGACTTCCCTCTTTCTCTAGGGCATGGAAGGGATCAAGGTGTTTCTCCATGAAAGGGAGCTGTGGCTGAAATTCCACGAAGTGGGCACGGAGATGATCATAACCAAGGCCGGAAGGTGAGCCAGCTGCCTCTGCGGAGGGGACTGGAGAAACGGTGGGACCGACGGAGAGAGGGGAGAGGGGAGCGGGAGATGGATGAGACGGTATTTTGTCTGACCAGCCTCTGGTTAAAGAGGGCCTGAGAGCGCCTTCCGGGACTTCTGTCAGGGTGGGGGACATAAGTACCTGGAAGGGTCAACTGCAGAAAGAGGCATTTCCCTCAGCTGGGCATTGCTTCCCCCTCTTATATAAGGAGACTCTAGAGCTTGGGAGGCTGTGCTCCGTGGAGGGATTAGGAAGCAGAGAAAGAGAGAGGGGAGGGGGAGAGAGACCGGGGAAAACCGAGAGGTGCAGGGAGGACTCCGAGAGGAGACCGGCTTCAGGCTTGATCCCTCGCCCCCGGCCTCCTTCCCACCCTGCCTGACCTTGGAATGGTTCCAGAGTTCCACCCGATTGCCCAAGTCTGAATCGTCGCCTGTATTCGCTACCTCTTTCATTGTTTATAGAAAGCAGGCGAAGCCTTTGAAACTGAACCGGGGCTCGTCCGGGCTCTATATACAGACACCGATAAACACGGCAGTTTCGCCAAGACACTCACCCTGCAGTTCCTTTTCAAAGTTCGCTGCGTTTTAGCTAGAAAAGCTAGACTTCGGGGGGAGGGGGCGGGAGAGTCGGGCAGCTCTGTATCTCGGTGTCTGAGAGCGCTCGCTGGTAGCCCAGGCCCGGAGACACCCTGGCCACGTCGCTCCCTGTACCGGCCTGGTCCTCTGCGTCCCGGGGCTGCAGAAAGCCCCGCGTTGACCCAGAGCGGGCGCACGAAGCCCGAGAGGCCGCTAGGCCCGAGCCACCGAGTGTGTGAAGGGGGAGGGCAGAGCCGCCTCGCCAGACGCCCCCGGCTCTCCAGCCCGAAGCCTCCCGCAATAAACTGACAACAGTGACATTTATTATTATTTGAAATTAAACAATGTCTGCTCCCCCGCTCGGCCTGGGTGAGCTAGGAGGCGCGTTCTGTTTATGCCAAAGAACTGAGGGTTTCTTCCCGTTCCGCCGGGGAAGGAAAGCCGCGGCCGGGCCTCCTTTCCGCGGGCCTGAGCCGAGAGGATTTAACTATAAAAGGCCTGCGCGGCGTACCGAGCCTCCGCCTCTGGGCGCGCTCACTCGGGCCGATAAACACTGAGGCTTCAACTCCAAGGCTCGAGGAGAGAGGCCTCCGCTCAGCGCTTCCCGCCAGCCCGGAGCCAGCCAGGATCCAGCAACTAGTCGTTCCACCCCGGGCCAGCTTTGCATAGGCTTGCTTTTCAGGGCGCACTCTTTTTGAGGCAGAAAGGGAATTTGGGGGTGCGCGGAGAGGGAGCGGGCAGGGTGCGCGCAGTCCCGGGGCGCTGGTTTCCCAACGGCCCGATCCTCCATTCTCGTTCAGACCCCGACCCTTTCGGAAACCAAATCTGGTTGCGTGTGAAATTTCTTTGCCGAGGGCCAGAGAGTGTAGACTCTCCAAGGAAGGGTGCCTTGGAGAAGTTGTGGGGCATCTAGGAATATATTCCTGCAAGAGAGTCGCGCTAAGGTCACCGGCGGAGCTCTCCCCTGGGGGCGGAGGACTGAAGCCAGGACAGGACCTCTGTGGGCACCCACATGTGCTCAGTCCCTAGGGGCACACACACCTTGGCATGCACGTGACATGGCAGCGCTGCCCACAGCGGCCGAAGCAGCTGGCTGGGCAGAAGGGGAGGCCAGCTTTTTACCTAAGGAGTCTCCTCCTGTCCCCAATTTAAAAAGTAGGCGTCTGGCTCTGGAAAGAGCATTAAGCAAGAGTTGAAATGGGGGTCCCGCGCAGGCCGACTTGAAAACCAGTTCTCCAGAAGCCCTGCCTCCTGGTTTCTATTTTCCTCCTGGATAGACTTGTTTCTTCGCCTTTCTCCTCCCCATAACTTCAAGGGAAACCCGGGATGGATCTTGGCCAGAGCGGAGTGGGGGCCACTTTTGTCTTTCACACTTCTAAAGGAATGGCTTCTTCGATAGAGTGTGTGGATGTGCTCTTCAGAATATTAACTTTAATTCTCCCTCTCCCTCCCTCCCTCCGTCCCTCCCGCACCTCTCCTAGGCGGATGTTCCCCAGTTACAAAGTGAAGGTGACGGGCCTTAATCCCAAAACGAAGTACATTCTCCTCATGGACATCGTCCCCGCAGACGACCACAGATACAAGTTTGCAGATAATAAATGGTAGGCATCAGAGTGTTAGCTGGGGCGGGCACCCCCCGCCCCCGCACCACGGACCTACTCCACAGCTTTTTGAGTTCCTCCCGTGCAGCTGGAGGCTTCTACTGCCCATCCCATTGCATCCGCTAGACCTCGTCCCAAAAGGGGGAGAGAGCAGCCGTTAGCTCCCATTTTAGAGACGAATAAACTGAGGCTCCGAGGAAGTAAAAGGCCTGTGTCTCCTGCCGCACCCGTGGGTTGTCGAGTTTTTCAAAAGGGTATTGTTACCAAGCACTGGAGGTATTTGGGGGTATAAAACCATTTACAGTTACTTTTTATGAGTTACCCGCTTTGAACATGCCTTTTTATGAAATTGCAAAATCGGCCCGTGGTATTTGAGTAAAACAGGCAAGAGTGGAGAGGAGAGGCCTGTTCCTTCAGTAGATCGCCCCTGCAGCTGCCAAGGCTACAGAGGCTTGAAGAGGAAGCCCCCTTTGAAAGCCTTGACGAGTTTTCCAAAGCTTTTTTGCACGCCCAGGCTCCCGGGACCCGCTGCCTGTGGGCAGCGAGAGGCTGCAAGGCCCCGCGGGCGCCCCTGGTGCTGGGGGGTGGGGGGGGACAGGAGCTGGGCAGGACGCTTGTCTGATACCAGCACCGGGCAAGCGAGACCTGAGGGTCAGGCCATTCCAGAGCATTCTCACATTCAGCAGCCCAGGCCGGGCATGTGAACCGACAGCACTGTGGGGCGCTGAGGCTGGGTGTTCCGCCTCTCCTTGGTCTAGGTCCGTGACGGGCAAAGCGGAGCCGGCCATGCCGGGCCGCCTGTACGTGCACCCGGACTCGCCGGCCACCGGGGCGCATTGGATGCGGCAGCTCGTCTCTTTCCAGAAGCTCAAGCTCACCAACAACCACCTGGACCCGTTTGGGCATGTAAGTACCTGGAGCCGCCCAGCCTGGATCCTCAGGTCGGTCTCCCTCTCTCTCTCTTTTTCTCTCTCTCCCCCTCTCCCTCCTTCTCGCTGAGCTCCTCTCCTTGGCTTCTGGAACCCACCCTTCTCCTTTCCTCACTTCATTTATTTCACCCCCTCGGCCTTTTTCTCCCCCTTCTTTCTGGATCTGGCCTGCCTTTCTTTCTCTCGCCTTCTAATTCAGCTTTCGGGGTTCTCTCCTTCCTCCCCGTTCCCGCCTCTCTCCCACCGAGAGGTTTGCCCCTTTGCCGTCTTCCCCATGGTCGGCTGTCCCATGCTCTGGTCTGTTTCTCCTGGGTGGATGGAGATGGGGCCCTAGTTCTCCCGACCTGGGGCTCACACTGTGTCCCGCCGCCAGCCCCTGCCTTTGCTGAGGGGCAGGATCATGGTATGACCGAAGCTGCATTGTCCCGGGTGGACCAGGGGGCTGGGAACTGGGTCTGTGCCCCAGTCCCATCTGTGATCAGGGGTGGAGGACTGTGTTTCAGTCCTGCAGGAAAAAAAAAAAACCCACGGTCACACCCAGTGGGCACCCAGCACAGACAGCTCACGGGCCGGACCACGGTGGGAGCCCACACACCTTCCCCGCCCCCTTCCAAAACCTGCTTTAGGATTGGGGTGTTTCAGCTGTCAGGCAGACCCCAGGCCCCCTGACCTCTCTTTTACAGGTGGGCATGCCAACCCACTAGAGGCGAACTCTGGGACCCTGCTGCTTTTAGCTTCATACTCTTGGGCAGACCTGTTTTTCCCAACTCCCGTCTTTCTCCTCCCCCAGCAAAGCCCAGAGCAGGCAAACCCAGACCGGGGTCCTCAACCTGGAGTCCCACGGGCCCCCAGAGAGAGGGGCCCGGCAAGGCCTCTGAAGCTACATACAGGATATGGAGTGGGCAGCCTCCACCCTCCAAGAGATGTGTAGCTTTTAGCAAATGTTCCAGAGGGCGTCACCCTCTCTTCCCCAAAGAAAAACAAATGAAGAACAAAACACTGATTTTTAGAAGAGTGTCCCTAAAACCCTTGGGTGGAAAGAATTCGTCACCAGGACAGACCGTGGTCTCTGAACTCAGTGTTGGGAACCCGCAGGTTGGCGACGCCACCCTGACCCTCACAGCAGCCTGGGCAGGGGGCCCGGAGCCCGGAAACACGCAGCCTTGGCCACTGAGCGTCCAGGGGACGGGAGGGGGCTTGCCCAAGGTCAAACAGCTGGTGTTTGGGAGCAGGACTTGAGGCTGGGTCTCTAATCCCAAAAGTGCTCCCTATCCTGCTAGGTTCTCTTTAGAGAAAATGGACAGAAACATGGTCCCTAATTTGGGGACAGGAGGGGACTGGGTGCTAATGGATTTGACTGGGAGGGAGGTCGGTTTGTGAAGGTGCCGATGAGAAATCTGCTCCTGTGGGGCCTTAGGGGCAGGGGTCTCTAGTGGGAAGGGGACTGCAGGCCCATCCACGGAGAAAGCCGCTTTCTCCACGTGGCTGGTGGGGAGACTGCCCCACTGGTGACTGGGGCAGGGAGAAGGCCGGTTCCCTTTCTGCGTGGTCAGGAGCGCCCCAAAGGGTGCGGGGGCGGTGCGGTTCTCCCCCCCCCCAAAAAAAAATGCAGGTTTCCTTTCCGTCTAAAGCAGCGTATTTGTCTGCAGCGCCCTGGTGCACCCAGAACAGAAATGATCCCTCGGGCTTGAGTGGGCGTCGTACCTGCGGGTACTGAACCGATCATTGAGGTTAAGCGCTGGGGAGAGACGGACTATTTTGTGAAGGTCCCACATCCATCTTCCGGCTGGCGGGCGTCCTTCTGGAGGCTGGGATCCTATGGCGGGGCCCTGCTTGGGATCTTGGTGGCAGGAAGCGGGACTGGCCTCCGGCTCCGGTTGGGCTCCTAGCTTTCCCTCTGGGGCTCTGGGTGCGCCTTTGGGGTCTTGCCGGGGTGGACGCCCGGGAAGGTGCACAAGCCCGCCCCCGAGATCGGGCGCCCTTGCGCGTTTCAGGTTCTTAGCGCAGCGGGGAGAGCGAGCGCGTGCTCTGAGCGGCCCCCGCCCCCGCAGCTGCCACACGGTGCCCCGCCGAACTCCAGGCTTGGGGTCCCGAGCCGCCCTAATGAAGTTAGGAGCCATTAGATCGCCCTCGCTGATGTCTCCACACTGTCCCCGGCCGTCAAAGCAATTTGGCTAAGCCGGGACGATGGCCGCGCCGGCCCGGGGGCTGCGGCGGCCCGCGGGGCCCCGCTGAGTCTCTCTGTCGCCACGCCGCCGGGCCGGCGTCGCTATCGGCCGGGCAGGCGGCTGCGCTGCGTAGGCCGGAGATTAGAGCCGCAAGGCCGGGATCCGGAGTCCCGGCGCCCTCCCCCTCCTCCAGGCCGGTCGCTAGGGTTGGCCCAAGAACCCTGCCCCAGGGTCATCAATGCAAATAGACATCCAGACAGCCTCCGCCACTCCAGCCTGCGGTCGGAGGGAAAACGCAGGCCAGATTGTCAGCCCCTTAAACGCGGCGATTCGCCCCTTCGGTGGGTACAGATCAGAACGGTGTGATAAATGCTGGCGCTTACAGGCCCGGGGAGCATGCAAACCCGGGCGGCCCCAGGACAACACCCCCAGTTTAGGAGTGAGGATGCTCATCCTCTATGAATACACCTGGCGGCTCCCCTCTAATGTTGATCCTGGTGGCTGTAATAGCGGCGCAGCTATGGCACTCAGACCACGCTCGTCCCTGAGAGCACCCCAAACACGGGGAAGGTAGAGAGGCAGGAGACAGAGAATGTTCCCAAGAAAGGGGATACAACAGTTCTGTCTGGGGCCAAGCCTGGGGATAATTCCAAGCTGTGGATCCTGAAATGTTGATAAAGTTGGAGAAAGACAACCTCAGGGCATCCACGCCCTTGTTTGATGGCGAGGGTTGGGGGCGGGCGCTTTTCCCATGGTCTCACCATCCTTAGGGCGCCCCCCCCCTTATTATCTTCTTTTCTCATTGACTCTCACACCGCACAATCTCCAAACAAAGGTCCAAGCCTGTGATATTTATTCCAGTTCTGCAAACACTTGGTCTCTTCTTTTGCATCTCTCAGAGGTTGGTTGTGTGTTGTTTTTTTTTTTTTTTTGGAGGGGGTGGTATTTGTATGTTTGATTGTTTGTTTGTTTGTTTGTTTCTCCCCTTTAATTCCAAAAATTGTCACCCAGACTTCCCAGGGCGCCACTTTCTTGCTCCAGACTCGCCTTGCTCCCGTTAGGGGCAGAAAGTGCCCTACGTAGGGAGTTAATTTATTAAGCAAACTTTATTAAGAATTCTGATTTACTGCCGTGTGTGCTTTGGGTAGATTCCTGGAATATTACCCTGGCTTTTTCGGTTGGAAATTGTCATTTTTGAAATGTTTCTTTTTAATGAAATCACTGGACCCTTTTCAAAACAGGAGGGAAAAAAAATCGGACTATTTTTTCGAGAGCCTATATGAGGAGGCTAATTTTGGGGGCGGAGAGTGAGGTTTTATCTGGAAACAAAAGGATTTTCATTTTTCTTAACAATCTCATTTTCTGTATTATTTTTAGATTATTCTAAATTCCATGCACAAATACCAGCCCAGATTACACATCGTGAAAGCGGACGAAAATAATGGATTTGGCTCAAAAAATACTGCTTTCTGCACCCACGTCTTTCCTGAGACGGCCTTTATCGCGGTGACTTCCTACCAGAATCACAAGGTAAGTCCAGTACCTAGGACCAGGGTGCGGGGCTGCCCGCTCATTTGCATAGCTCTGAAGAGGTCTCCTGCTGTCGCTTGAAGCTTAGGGCGGCTCAGTCTGCACAGCGGGCATCAGCGCCTACCCCAAGAGGCTGCAGCCTAAGGCTTGTAGCTTTTTTGTGCTTTTGTGCTGTGTTCACGAGTTTGGCAGACCCCTACCCTCCACTCATGGGCACACCCCCCTCCCCCAGTTAGAAACAAACTTTCCAAACCGTAAATGTCCACACACTCAAATACAACAAGGAGGCATCCCACTCCACTCAAGAAATGATCCGTGAGAAGAAAGGTCATTTCATGGCGCGACTCCATGCACTTGCGTGGGAGCCTGTGGCTACGCTTCCTGGGGCCACTTTTCTGTGGGGTTGTCTCCTCTCCTCCTTTCTGCGTTTTGGATGCATTTCAACTCCAATCAGGGCAGGTGGCAAAGTTGCCGGAAACCTTGGGCTTGGATTTTCCAGATGCGTCTATAATTGGTTTCAGCAACTTCTGACCTCCTCCACTGCGCCCCCCCCACGCCTGCCCCCAGACCACATGCTAAAGCTACGTTTGCGTTATTAAAACAAAAACAAAAACAAAATTAAGCAAGGTCGGCCACCAGCAGCCTAGCCCACCGCTCCCAGGACTTAGATAGGATCCTGCCAAACCACAGCGTGGTGGCGGCGGTGGGGGGTGCTCATGCACGCGGTCAACGCATTGTCTGGGAGGAGGCGGCTGCCGTTTGGGGCAGAGGTGGGACGGTGCCAGGCTGATTGTGTCAATGTCAGACCCCACCCTGTTGGAAATCCAGCCTCTGATCTGGGCATTGCAAAGCTGGACAATGCGATTGGAAGAGGGTGCCCCATAACCACAGGTTAGCGGAGCATCATCTGTTCTTCCTCAGGAGGAAGGGGCTTGTCTGGACTTGTTATGGTTCACGTCCGTTCTTTAGAAACCTCAGGGCACGTGGATCCATTGTATTGGGGGTGGGGCGGGATTGAATGATTTCTAAGGCTTGTAATGTAAAGATCTGGAATCTGAAAAGGCAAGATACAGGCGCTGAGAAGGGGCCTCAGCCACTGAGGGGTTGTAGACTGTTAAGAGGATGAAGCAGCGATTTGGGGTTAGAGGGCTGTTATAGAGGAAAGTAGGGGGTTCCATATGGGATCAGTGAGGGCAGGTCACGTGGACAACTTAAGGAGATGGATGTGGGAATGGTGACGCCCCTCCCCCTCCACAGCTCCTATCACCACCTGCAAGATAAGGGAGTTACAGGGGCTGTGGGGCCAGGCAGGAGGGGCCGTGCTGGACGAGAGCACCCTGCAGTCTCCAGTTACCCAGGGAAGCTCATTCCAGTACAGACTGGGTGCCAGATAAGCCCCCCTCCCCGCCAACCTCGGTGAAGCCAGGGGAGTTACAAAATGCTGTGGGGTCATCTCCAAATTCAGATTGTCAGCGGCCGGGCCGAGCTGTGATGGATGGTCCCTACTAGGCCACAAGGCCTGTCTGGGAACCCAGGTCTTGAAAGAGCTTCTTTCCAGAAGAAAACTTGTTCTCCCCCTAAATGTAATTAGTTTTTAAAGGGGAAAGAGGATTTTTCTGAGCTCTCCCCATTCGCTGAACTGACAAGAGCAAAAACATTAAGACTAAATGTCCTGAAAGTTGTAAAACCATTTCGGGCTGATTTGAGTCTGGCTGCTAGAAACCTGTTTCTCCTATCGCTGCTGGAAACCCATGTTTCACTCTCTGGTGTGAGTCACAGGATGGAAAATGGAAAAATAGCAACAAGGATGCTCCTTTTCATACACACACACATGTACACACACATATTTAGAGGCTCCCCACCCTGACAGAGGGTCCAAAAATATGTTGATTCCTTTTTTCCCCCAAGAAAGCCCAGGTCCATACAGAAAGGACAGGAAGCGGCGGACACATGACAGTAGCCTGCTAAAGAAACCCGTGGATGGTCAGATCCTTTGGGGGAAACCCTTCAGCTCTGTGTGCTGGGAGGCGGGGGGAGTCTCTCTCTCTCTCTTGCTCGCTCCGTTTACATCTTTATTGAGGCAGAATTGTCCTACAATAAGCTGCAGTATTGGAAATGCACAATTTGATTAGTTCGACACGTGTGTGTACCCGGGAAACCACAACCCCTTGTGACGGTACCCAGCACCTTCCACGTTCCCATTTTCTCTCATTTTTAAAAATTAAATTTATTGGACTAACATTGGTTACTAACATGATGTCAATTTCAGTCTACCAAATTTCTACTTCAAAAAAAATGTCTTCCCCTGTGGATATATTTAGTGATCTCCCGCACAAAGGAGTGCTTGCCCCGTAGGGCACGTGCGTGAGTCCTGAGCAGAGCCTAGGAGGTCACGTGTCTCCTACGGCTCCTGGGTCTAAAAACGGGCATCTCCAGATTCGCATTTGGGCATTCATGTATTTGATGGCTGCACCCAAGAACCACTTTTTTCTTTCCTGGCTGGTCCAGGGAACCCAGTTGAGCTGTACCGACAGGTCTTTTTAGCCAGCCTGGCATCTGGAAGAGGGGTTTCGTGGGAGACAGCTTTCCATCGCTGTCCCCCCACGATGTTGCCCCCCCTTCCCAGGGGTGAGCACACGAGGCGCCTAGTTGCTTTATCAGGAGGAAGTCTCAGGCAGCGCAGTTCTCCAGTTTAAGTCCAGGGCCGCTGCACACTTTCCCCGCACGGATATATGACGTGTGACTTAAATCAGCAGGCCAGCCAGAGTGGGATTTACTCTGTCTTGTTACTTTATCGTCCCACCTGGACCTGGTGTTGAGACCCCTGACTTCATGGGGGAAAGCCGCCTGAGCGCAGAGCTAAGGCGGGACTCCGCACGCTGACCGCTGGGCTTCCTATCCGTTTGACTTTGGTCAAGTGACTTAAGGCAGCTTCCCCCATCTGTGAAATGGGGGTAGCAAAGGACTTCTCTGTTACTACTGTTGTGAGGATTCCGCCAGATAATCTGTGGACGGGCATCGTGCAGACCCTGGCTCGGGACGAGCACAGTGTCAGTGTCAATTCCATTGACTGACTCCGTAACCGATCAATTTATGAACAAGGCGACTCCATCCAAAACGCGGGCTCTGGGAAACTCTTTCCCACCCTATTTTAGAATCTGAAAGACAGATTTGCAATAAGTTCTTATTCCTCTGGTCGCAAAACCACAAAAGGTTAGTCTCTGGGACTCAGTTTGTTCACCGATCATGTCCTCAGTTTCAGGACAGTTCGCCCGGCGTTGCTTTGGAGGAGCAAGCAGGGAAAGAAAAGCGGTCCACGTGGTTAGATCACCAGGACAACTTGGGAGAATGGGAGCCACCGGTTTGGGGGTCAAAGGGACTCAGTGATGCCAATGATCTCCGTGCGGGTGCAGGCACCAGGGGGAGGCAGGTGTGTGGCAGAGTTCCCGGCTAAGACTGCAGTCACTCGCTGGTGTGCCACAGGCTGCTAATGACAGGACGCATTTCCTCAGCCCAGCTGCTGCGATCCCAGGCTGGATTTGGGAGTTATTTCCCCAGATGGCCGACAGCTTGAAAAAGATATTTAAAAACTCGAATCTTCCCCAGCGACGTTCACTCTGTGAAACACGTTTTTGTGAGGTTTTCACTGGAGTTGTCAGCAGCTCCGGGAGCGATCCCTAGAAATATTTAGGTGTTAAAAAAAGGTCACGTGGGCATTTCATTTCCCTGCGCTTGCAACAATGGCTATGTATGCGGGCATGTCTATCCCCCGATATTAACTTACTCTGCCATTAAAAGGCATTTTCCTTCTGCTTAAATCATTGTGTAAGGAGCCTGTATTTATGAGGTATGAGCTTTCTGGTTGGGACCAGGAAATGAACCCCTAATAGAGAGACATAATTAAGATTTTTGGCTCTCATGAGGGTTTTTTCTTTTTTTTTTCAAAAGCAAGAATTCACAACAATTATTCTCATTAATTTTTACAACCTCTGTCTCACTGGTTGGAGCTGGCATTTATATTTGTATTTTTCCCCACTCCACCCCAACCCACCCCAGCCCTCCCCCGGATATCCGGTTTTATGCTCGCTGCGGAGGGAGTCCATTTGTAGGACGAGTGGAAGTCAGTTTCAGGGGAGCCTTTTGGTAGAACTCCAGTGTAACAGTGTATCTGTGTGTTTGTGTGTCCGTGAGGGAGTGAGCTGACACGCAGCGTGTCAGAAGGGAAGTTCAAGGACAGGGTTGTTGCATGGACCAAAATAAAGAAGTCATTTTTATTATGAAATAAGACGGACACTTTCACATACAGCTAAGCTGGCACGTTCACATTTCTCAAGGGTAATTCTTACGCCCTGTCGGCATCTATACTCAGTTTGCAAAGCAAGACATACGGTCAGATCAATACCCCGGAGTGTCTCTATAGAAAAGCATGATTATCCTATGCAATCGTATTTTTGGAAGCTATGGTGATAAGTGCAGTAATTACGTAGAAGTAAACTGAGGCGCAAGAAATGGGTTTGAACTTTCGTCTGATCAAGTGTCAAAGTCCACCCTTTTCTTTTCTTCTTCGGGTAATGTTTTTGTCCTGAGCTCTTGGTGGGAGAGTGACGTCGTGGGCTGAGCGTTCATTCAGACCTGCTACCACATCCCCATTTATTTGCAGGACCCCCAGGGTCGGCTCAGGGGCTCTGGGGGACGGGCATGGGGCAGGGCACGGTCCCGTTTTCTAATTCAGTCGTCAGTGATCTAAGTTGTACTTCACTTTCTGAGAATCCCTCCCTTTTGTAAAAAAGCGATTGATCATCAAGCAGGTCGCATTTTATGTGACAAAACTTGAATGGGAAAGAAAGCCCCGTTAGGTGAGGGGCTTTTATACTCACCATAGAACTGGACTCAGGAGAGCCCGTTTTAAAGACCATTTTTAAAGGGGATTTTGTAGACTTTTCTACTCATTCTGAAGAGTCAAGTCAAAATCAGAAAGCTGCAGGAATGGGTACAATATTTTAAAAAACGAGGGAGGAGGGAATGTGTATACACATAAATACCCACACACACAGGGTGGGGTGAAAGTAGTTTCTAGTGATGAGTACACAAAGCACAGGGTTTCTACTTGTATTATGATTTATTCATTATCATATCATTATGCCATACAACTGTAAACCTACTTTTGCCCCACCCCGTAGAAGAAAAAAATTTTAATAGATATTTTTTTAGAGCAGTTTTAGGTTCCCAGGGAAGTTGAGTGGAAGGCGTACGGATTTGCTACATACCCCCTGCACTGCCCCCAGTAGCCTCTCCCTCTATCAACATCCCCACGGGAGTGGGACGCTTGTTGCGGTCAACGAACCGACACTGGCACATCATTATCACCCCAAGTCCAGTTTACGTGAGGCCTTACTCTTGGTGGTGTCCATCCTGTGGGTTTGGACAAAGGTTTAATGACATGTATCCACCATTCCAGTGTCATACAGAGTAGTTTTACTGCCCTAAACATCCCCTGTGTTCCACCCGTTCGTCCCCTCCCCCCCAATCCTGGTGAGCCTAGTTTTGTCTTTTCCAAAATATCATATGATCAGAATCATATAACATGTTTTTTAAATGTTAAATGTATATATATTTTTAATCATGAATACACAGACGCGTATGTGTCTATAGTAACTTTACACTTTATATAGAGTGTTGGAGTTAGAAGACCTTAATAAGCGATCTCTGTTAGAAAACAGAACATACCAGAAGGCCTGCCCCCAAATGGACAAACTATAGGGCAGCTTCATTAATTGGCCCTAGTACAGCGTTTCTGAAGGTCTGTAACCGTACTGCTGGGGGAGGTGATTGGAGTGGATCGGGGTTACTTGAATATGATAGAATCCCAGAAAGTTGTTCTTTCTTGATTATCTTTCTATTCAACTCTCAGGGAGACAGGCTCAGTTTAGTTGGTACCCGGTGTGTTAAGCTCTATTCTAAAAGTGTCTGATAGCCCCTTGCAACAAAGAGAAAGCAGGCCTGGGGTTTTGAGCTCTCTGTGGTACCAGGAGAGAGAATTTGGTATCGTTGTTTTCTTTGTATTGAATAGCAAGTGATTCTGGTTTGACAGAGAGAGAAGTGATGTGATATTTTGTATGAAATAAATTTAAGTAAAAAGTGATGAGACTTAAGTAAAAAGGTTAAACAGACCAGCGTACAGGTGCTATTTAGATATGACAATGATGGTGAAGGTGAACCTTGAATCGCTGAACCTTGATGGATGCTGCCGTGGAGTCTATAGAGTGATTTGATACATACAAATTTAATTTGCACGCAGCTTTTAAGACATAATTCTAGCAATGCTATATAGAAGTACTCTCTCACCTGTATCTGTTACTGTTCCCTTACGCTAATAGAATATATGTTAATGGTTTCCATGAAAGTTCTGGGCCTTGAACCAAAGGCCCTGTTCTATTACTAAATTTTGTACATGGCGACAAAAATATCCAAGAAAAAATTAAAGAGTTTTGGGAGCTGTTCGATAGTCATTCTCTATGTCATACTTCTCCCTGTTGGTATTTCTTTAATTAGAAACCATTTTCCACCTGAGCTAGCAAAGCCTCTCTGTGAAACTGTGGCCTGAACACGAAACGAGGCATTAGGACTTGGAAAGCGATAGTCAGGCCCTCCCAGATGGAGACCCTGACGCCGTAGGGAGCGTGACGCCATATGCCCACAGGCACAACTTTCCAGAGGGGAAGCGGGACCCACTGTTGAGGACTAGTTGGTGTTTGAAATGCAAAATGCTACAATTAAAATCAACAACAGTAACAAATCAGCTAGAATGATGCAGAGTATGACTTTAATTAATGGGCAAATCGAATCCAGGTTTTTTCTCGGTTCCAAAGCAGTCTGATCTAGGACATTTTTCAAAGCTTCCGCCTGAATCAAGTGATGAGTCCGTTGACAGCGCTGTCTTAATTTGCCCTCTATTTCGGGTTGCCAAAGGCTGCGTTCCCACAGCAGTGTTCAGCTCATGTCCCGAGATTGTGTAACCAAATCTCTCCTTTCTTCAGATCACCCAGCTGAAGATAGAGAACAATCCCTTTGCCAAAGGATTCCGGGGCAGCGATGACATGGAACTGCACAGAATGTCAAGAATGCAAAGGTAAGAAAGTGGATTCCTGGGCTTCCCTGTCGCCCCGTACTCCCCAAATAGCCCAGGTGAGTCCGCCCTCCCCCAGCCAACCAGGTACAGAGAACCGGGGCCCTGGGAGCAAACAAGAAAGAGGAGAACGAGCCTCCTCGAGAGTCTTGCTTTCTGATCGTGCTCCCCTGTGGCTTCCTCTATCAGGCAAGCTGGAGAGTGTGTCTCAGGAGAGTGGGTGTGGGAGGTACAAGAGAATGTGACATCCCCATCTGCCCAGGGGACAGAAGCTACGCTTGTCCCCTCTTCCTTTGCTGTGTCTCCCTTCTAGCGAAGTCCTCTCTCTTTCTTCCCATAAGGTCACTGCTGATGAGTGATTTTTTGGTCTGGTAATGGAACAGCTCTTGGTAAATGTAAAGGGAACTTAATGACTTGATTTCTGAGGGTGAAATACAGACAAAACTTGCCACCACGTGGTGCCCAGGGCACCGGGGGATTGAGAGATGGTGATAAAAATTGCTCCATATTTTTACATATCCTGTGGTCACAGTTGCTGATATGATGAATGGAAGGGGCTGTAGCAAATGTCTATAGTGGGAATTTGGTCTGATTTCAAGGGATTGTACAAGCATTGCCAATTTTGTCAAACACTCTACCTCTTGATATGCTTCCAAAATAAGTTACCATATGGCAAGAGAATTAGAAATACATCTTGATCCCTTTGACCAAGAAAGTTGTTTTTTTTTTCCCCTTCCCCTTTGGGTGGGTTTCATGTTTCAAAATAAAATGAGGTCACTTAGGAAGCTTTTCTTTATCCTTTCTGGAAGACACAGAAAGGGAGAGTCAGGCAGATGGACAGACATGCTCGTTCAAAGGAAGACAAGAGACCTGCGAAAGAGAGAGACAGGGTACAGCTCTGTGGTTTTAACATCAGGTTTAGAAATAAATGCACGCCATGGAAGTTGTTTTTAGACAGCAGGCTTCTCATTTGCATACTCCTAAACGCTACAGGGCAGAAAGGTCAATGGGGAATAAGAGGTACAAATTTCCAGTTTTAAAAGCAATAAGTCATGGGGATGAAAGTAAGGTTCAACAGAGAGAATACTGTCAATAATGTTGTGATAGCTTTGCGTGCTGGTGACAGGACTTGCTGTGGAACCCTTTGCTAGGTGTATTCTTGTTGACTATTTTGTGCACCTGAAACTAATGTAGTTTTGTATATTAACTATGTTGTAACAAAAATAAAAATAAATACACCATTATCTTCAGGTGTACCCACATATACCACACTCAAATACATTCCTTCGGTCATAATTGGTTTTCTTCATAATTGTGGATTAGCAAGATGCTTTTTGTGGCTAAAATAACCAAGTTCTTAAATTATTGTTAAAAAAAAATTGCCGTTGTCTACATTTTGAAATTGGAGTTGGATTTAGTTGCGGCCAGTGAAAAAGTTGACAATAACACATAAAGCTGAGAGGGGTCCAACCCTCAGTGGCTCAGCATGCCAAGTTTTTTCTTCTTTTGTGTTCAAACTTCTCGCCCAGTCTGACAGTTACCTGCCATTCAGGCAGCTTAGCCACTGACAAAGTGTCCTCTCCTGCTGGTAAGGGTCCGGGTTGTGCAGGTGGGGACTTGATGAAGCCCCCCAGTCCCAGCTTGCAAATAAAGAGCTTTTCCCAGCCCCGACTTCTTCCCTCCTCCCCACAATGTCAAGAGCAGAAGGGGTAATGGATTTAAGGTGTTGCGAATCACCCCCGCAGACTTAACCAGCTACCAGGTCCTGCTGCTTCTACTTTCTTGACGTGTTTCAGAATTCGCCCCCCTTTCTCCTTCCAGCCCGGCTGTGCTAACCACCGCCATCCCCTCCTGACTTCAGTCCTGTTCCCTTCCAGCACATTCTCCAGACAGCCGTTAAAGACATCTTTGTAAACCACAAATCAGACAAGGCCGCTCCACACCTACAGCGCTCCAGGCGTCTTATTGTTTTCAATATAAGGCCCAGGCTCCAACGCGACCACGCCCTTCCCCTCCGGGCTGGCCACTCCCCTGGGCTTTGCCCTCCTTCGGCGCCCCCCGCCCCCCGCCCCGCTTCAGCTGTGTTCCGCACCTGCCTGGGGTAATTCTTTCCCTGATTTTTGGCCCTTCGAACACGGTTGGTCTGCCTCAGACATTGTCCTCTCGTCCTGCACTTGGCCATTCCTTGTGTATCTCTAGGGTCACCGGGTGGCTCTTCTTTCCTCCAAGAAGCTTCCTCTTGCCACACACTGCGTTGTCCTGTCTGCTCCCAGGATCCCTCACTGCTCTCCTGGGTCAGGCCAGGGCCCTGCACTTCGGAAACTGATCGGACAGATGGTAGACGTGACAGGTGGGAGGTATAGGAGTTTAAGAGCTCAGATGTCAGTGATCCTGGGGACTCTCCCCTGAAGTTCTAAACACGGTGGTTAGATGTCGGGCAGCTGACTCTGCTTTGGTCAGAATTGGCTGTCCTAACCACCCCCTCGTGGTTGCAGGTTGGGGAGGGTGTGATCAGGTGGCTTCCCCAGGTAGGTGCTGCAGGTGGAGAGCAGAAAAGCGCAGCTTTTTCTGAGCGCCCTGGGCTCTCAGAAATTGACATGCAGGATCCAACCTCTCAGCCTAAGAGCCACATGTGTCTTTGTGGCCGTGTTAGGAGCTACATTGGGGAACAAGAGGGCTAACGAGGGACCAGGTGGGGAGTGTGGACTGGGTCATTTGCCCAGTTCCCTGGAGATGGCCCTTGGGAAGGACAGGAAACCAAGGCGAGTGCCTCCAATAGCAGGCGTCGGAGTCAGGCCCACCTGGGTGCAATCATTGCCCTTGGGCAAGTGATTTAACCTCACAGAGCTTCAGATTCCTCATCTGTAAAATGGGCATAAATAAACGCAGCTTCCGCTTTCCAGGGTTCTTGTCAGAATAGTGTGAGAGACTGCCTGGGGAGAGCTGGGTGCCTCTTCCAGGCTTAATACAATGTCTCTGACTTGGGGGGAGACTCCCCATTACTCCTGGGCTCGCCCTGGTCCAGAGTTTATTCTGGGCTGGGGTCCTACTCCCAGGCTGCAGTAGGTAGTGACAAGTGTCCCAGGAAGGTGGCTGTCCAGAGTCGGCCGCGATAACAGCCTGGCTGGAACGGCAGGCTCACTGTTAATCTTCTAATCCTGTTTCCTGTTCGACTCACAGCCGGTGACAGCTGCTGGGGAGAAAAGCGGGAGGGGCGACATTTCCTCCGAGCCCAGCCATTGGAAGGAGGGCTGCGCGTTAGCTTGCAGTTAGCCCACAAAGTCACTCTTGGATCAGCTTGGCCCACGTCTGGGCACTCGCCCCACTATCTCTCTTCACCTAACTCTCCGTGTTTGGAAAATTACAGATGGTGTCTTAGTGATTTTCCAACATTCATTTATAGTTTCTAGTTACAGCTGCTTATGATAAAAAGGGAGAGCACGAAATCATTTCAAAGGAGTTAAAATCATTTAAAAATCCTGTCTCTAGCAGGTTGATTAAAATATGCACCCAGGTAATTTTGCAAGGTTAAGCAGTGGCTTAAAAAAAAAACATCTAATCCTAAAAACCAGCATGTCCCAAATTGCAGTGCTCCTACCCCGGTGACAAAGTAATTGATTTGAGAGGCTGCACAGACAGACAGGCACATAGACTGATTTCATAGCCATTGTTGCTGAGGATGAGAGTGAGGTGGAAGGAAGGAAGGAAGGTGGGAAGGAAGGAAGGGAGGGAGGGAGGGGGGAAGGAAGGAAGGAAGGAAGGAGGAGAAGAATGAACTTAAAGTTGATTATCTACAGAAAAATATTAACTACAGAACAGCAGACCTGGTATCGAGGTTTGACAGACATTGTCAAGGTGATATGCAAATGACAGAAATTTGGAAAATGCACCTAAATGCTCATCCTGGTCAGAAAGGTGTGGGCACCTCACTGCTGCTGGAAAGGATTGAGACTCTAAGTTTTCGTAGAACTTTGCTGCCACCTTTAAGATGTGCTCTGACAGGTTCTGAACTTCTGAGAAGTGAAAAGTGCCAGGGCCAGTGGGGGAGAGGGTGGGGGTGACGGGGGTGGACAGACAGACGCCTCTGTGGAGAGATGGGCACTAGGTTTTGTAGGAAGAAGGGGATTTGAATCTGTTGGGAAGAAGGGATTTCTGGGTGGCTGAGAAGACATGAGCAGGGAGCTAGAGGTCTTGGGGTGTAAAGTAGGAGTCAGGTTCTGAAGATCTCTGAAAGCCACCCGGAATGGCACTGTGACAGGGTGACCCCGGCATTCCAGAAGTAGAAGGGACCGCAGGAGATAGCATTTGGTCTGGCCTTCCAAACCCTTTTGCAGAAGGGGAAACTGAGGCCCAGAGAGTCATTCATTTATTTAGTTTTTAGTCTGCTGATTTGTTATTCAGCTAACATGCATGTATTAAGTTCCTACTGTATGCCCGGCATTGGGATGCAAAGGTGAATCACCGCGAAGGGGAACAGGCTCCACAGATGGAGAAGCAGGCTTTGGAGGTGGGGTCCCGGTCACCACGCGGAGTAGCTCCAGGCCCCCCAAATCCACTGAGCCTCTATCTCCTCACTGTAGAATGGGGGTCATTATGGAACCTACTCGCAGAGCTGTTGCCCAGGTGAAATGAGGTAATGCATGTGTTCTGATTGCTATTGCTACCTAAGGAAACACGCCCAAGCTTCAGCTGGACTGGCTGGCAAGGCCTGGGCCCCAAGCTATGCCATCGGTGCTGTGTGGGACTCTAAATCCAGGACAGCCAGGGCCCCAGGAACCACTTCCCTGCAGTGCATTGATGGCCGGTAAAGGGACAAGGAAGCACAGGCTGCTGCAGTCCGTCCATGGAGAGCTCAGAGGCCATCAAAGTGCTGCGGGTTTCCTCCAACCTGCTAGCCCTCGGGTGTGCCCCATAAACACCACTCACGGTGAAAAGACCAGGCATGGTTCGCTGCCACCCTGTGCGAGGTGAGGCAAGACATACCAGGGACGTGCTTTTCTCTC